TTGTTTATAGCATAGTTTATACAGATTATTCCCAAAAAATTATACGTATTTTGGAAATGTTGAGTCGAATTAGTCTAGAATCGGTTAATTTTATAGAAGAAAACCTTTCGAACAGCCTTAGTCCGTAAATTTCCCACCTATCGGGCTGCGATTGGCTCATGTATTTAATTGTTCCTACAACGTAATTTTCGGTTAGCGTGGAACGTATCTAAGCGTTATAGGGGGGGTCTACTGTACCTAATTTATATATAATACTGTACAGACGATAGCAAACTCAATTTACCCGCCTAAACTTTCCGTAGCGTGGCGCTGGACGGCGGAAAGTAGTTCGGCTGCTCGTCCACTATTGGTCCAGATTCGACCAATCTTGTCGCAACACGAGTCGGCGACGACGTTTTACGAGTCCCTTTATACGAATACTGCCGCAATTTTTTCGCTACGTTATAGGAATTTCCGTTATAGGAACCCACGTTATAGGGATCGACTGTACTGGTTCCCTTTCATGACCGATCCAGTGTTGCCAGCTAAAACACGCAAAAATGTAACAAAAATATTATTAAAGTAGCCAAGACATAGCCAAATATTGTAGCGCCACATCACTATTGGACATTTGAATTTGCCGACTAGAACGCAATCGATTAACCGAGGTGACGGGTAATCGGGGGTCGGATAATCGATGCTCTACTGTATTAAATCTGCTAACGTTGCGAAAGGGGTTATATCAATTTATAAACAGAGATCGAAGACATTAGATCGTGTCCAAAAATTGCTTTTGCTTTGGATAACTGAAAAACAGTGCGCTGGCGACAGCGTATTGGAAGCAATTATTTGCGAGAAACCTAAAAAGATACGCGCTGATCACGCGAAAAATCAAGCGGGAACTAGCCAGGAAAGCGAGGTGTTCAAACCCAGCCATTTTTTCATGAGAACGGATAATTATTTTAACATTACTTCTTATGGGAAAGGTTGGTTCGATATACGTCCTATTCGGTATAAGTTCAAACACCAGGAACGGATTAAAATGGTATACCGAGGTTCCACTGTACAGCTTTTTAGGGAATTTTTGCGCTTTTCAATGGCTTATAGAAAATTAGAAATTTTGCATATTACCGAAGAAAACAATTATGTTTCGAACGAGATTTTCGGAATTACTTCGAGTGTTTGTGGCAAAGAAACCAACACCCGAACATCGGCAACCGATTCCTCTACATATTCGTATAGTCATTCCGCGACTTTTTACTTGGAATTTACCAATCCAAATTCCAAAATATTTTATAAATTTTTCTATATATTTTTCTTTCCGTAGGAGTATGGAAGAATTCTCTCCGTTGCCGCAACAACCGACATCCGTTGTCTTTCAGTAAATAATTAAAACCGCTCCCGACCAACCGAATATAAATTTTTACCTTTAAATGGCCGAGAGCTTTTCTTCGATTTCTCCTCGGAACAATTGGCCTTTTATAAAATGAATTAATGACAGAAAATGTATTCCGTTTTTCTTGTCGTCGTCGAGTCAAACATCTTTCAACCGTTCCATTGTAACGGAAGAATTTTCAAATCGAAAGAAATACAGTGGCGCCGTCTGTAATTTCCGTTGAAAGAAACTTCCATTTTTGTAAATATTTTTGTCTTCAAATTTTCAACGATATTTTACTCGAATACAGTTTACCGGGAATAAAATCGCGTTCGAAATTTACTACAAATAAATAATTTGGTAATTTTTAAAATACTTTTCAAATTGTATTTTCTATTTTCGTATTTTGTGCTTCTATTCACCCTCAATGAAGATATAAAAGTAGTGTCGGAGTGATTCGGAGAAAAAGCCAATAGGCTAGAGTCTCCATATTAATAAGAAAGAAAGAAAGAAAAAATGGCTGTGACAAATGTAGCGTAATGTTCCGCGATACTTAAATGTCGCCCATAACGGGAGAGCTCGACACTGAATATTCGAGTTAGTATAATGTTTCGAGTTGACAATTCTGGACTTGTTATTAAGTAAAAATCTTGTATAAATAGACGCCTATATCTCAATATAACTACGCGTCATAAATTCATTTGAATACGTTAGCGCATAAAAATTAAAACAAACGATAAAGATGAAGAAAAATGTCGACCCCGTACCGTTACAAACTCATTTCAATTAAAAGCTATTCTAAACTAAATAGGCGGAGAAGGGGTGCCTTCGGATTAGAATAGTTTTAATGACGAAACTGACCCCGTATGACCATTGTTCTCTGCTGCCAGATGGCCGAGCGGTCGAGGTGGCTGCCTACTGCTCTGGGGATCCGGCCTCGAATCCGAACGGGAGTTTTACGGGGGAGGGTGGTTCGTTCGGATTTGTCGGACCCCGCTCCTCACCACCTGGCAGCCCCATTGTGGACCTGGCCGAACACATAATGGGCTTGCAAAGAGGCCGTGTTAGTGCCCGCAGGGCGGAAAGAGTTTAAAAAAAGAGACCATTCTTCTCTTTAAAAAATATAAAGAAATATTTGCAATTCTACATTTTCAAAGATAGACAAACAATCAAATTTTATCTTGTATTTCGTGTCAGAACGTATGTGTAGATCACTTATGAAAAAGATCGAGATTTACATTAATTAATACAATCGTAAAACAACATAAAAGCTCTTTCAATCTGACAATACTTTTTACTGATTATGTCAATAATATGCAACTACCGATCAATATCGCAGGGTTTAAATAACAAACGTTAAAGCGCTAGCCAAATTTTTATTAAAATTAGGGTATTTTGTATTCTAAACATTCATTGGTTTAATATGGTAAAACGGCATATTTAAGCCAATGAAAATCGCTGACGCTGGTCCAGAAGAAAAGTATAAAATTCATTATTCCGGGAGTCGTTTTAATAAAACAAAAAGCGTAGAATAAGACGTTTTAATAAAAATGTCAAACCATCTATTTCTATTGTGCTTTAAGATTTAAAAAAACTTAACGAACGACTTACAAATACAATAATTCTCGTCGTCATTAATTGTGGACATTGCAGAAAGGCAACTGGATATTAACCGCCTGGGTGTTAGAGATATTTGGCCTCCTCTACAATGCCGATCGCGAGTAATTTCAAAATATGAGCCAACGCGAGAGTACGTTGACAGGGGAAAAATCCATAAAAATATTTGGTATATATTATTTTAATTTTATTCAAATCAAGCCGCCCATAGATAATAGGAGTCTTTGTTCAAAGTTCGTGTTATAGGCGAAAAATTGCGATTGTGTTCGTATAAACACGCTAAAAGAGACTCGTATAATACGGTAAAACGTCATCGCCGACTCGTGTCGCGTCAGGATTGGTCGAATCTAGACCAATAGCGGATATTGTATACAAACAGTTGAATTTAAACGAGCACTGGACCTACTAAAAAACATTTATTATTCAACGGCTATAAAAATTATATTTCTACTAATGATGTCTCCAAAGTTCAGCGAATTTTTTGCAGAAAAATAACTTATCAGGAAACACGCGCCAACCGTTCGATGCGCCGCTCCGTGACGAAAACAGGCTTAAGCGACGGGGTCGTCGAACGGTGCACACTCGGTAAGTAATCCTACAATTTTTCGTTTATAGCATAGTTTATATGGATTATTCCCAAAACATTATACGTGTTTTGGAAATGTTGAGTCGAATTAGTCAAGAATCGATTAATTTTATGGAAGAAAACCTTTCAAGCAGCTGTAGTCCGTAAACTTCACACGTGCTGGTCTGTGATTGGCTCTTGTATTTAAGTAACTCGTACAACATGGAATTCATATAAAAGGGAATAATCAACAGTGTTGTAGGGAGTCGACTGTAGTTATAAAAAAGTTGAAAATTTGCGATGAGGAAAGCTTTTTTCTGACTCCCAAACACAAGTATACTGCACAGATTTTTGCATCGATGGCCCGTAAGCTTTCCCCCAGAGTGACAGTAGACTAGTTTAACCATCGACGATTGCGTAGCAGCTTTGGATTGCATCAAACGTAATTCACAATTTTACATAACACACGACAAATTTAACCAATTAGCATCTCCTCTCAGATCTTATAGAGTCAAAAATCCCCAATAAGATTGTTAATAAATTTCACTGTTAATAAATAATACAATATACATACAGTACAATGTAATCGGCTTCCGTTTTGTCTATGATGATACACAACTACGGATCATTACGAGTAAAGATTACAACTTCGGTTGTGTTTTTAAATACGATAATTATAGCAACACTAAACGAGTTATTTGTGATTAAGGAAGACAGGTTCTACCAAACTAAATGATACACATACTTATGATAATGTATTTTAAATTTAAATTTATTAAATTAAAAAAATAATTTTACAAAACCTTTTTTGTTCACTTTCATAACATCGAATGTATTTTACAAAATTAAAAAATTACAAATGAAGAAAATAAAACTTTAAACATTTCTTGTTTTGATGTTAAATAAAATCTAAATACGAATATTAATAATAAAAAATACTTTTGTTAACATTTCCTTCGTAACAAATACTGTTATTCATTATCATTACGATATTTAATAATATGATAATTTAATTACGTTTAAAACAGAACTTTTGTAAGCAATAAGTACACGATAACGACTTTTACTCCGAATGAGTTCGAAGATGTCGAATCAGAGTTGTTTTCCGTGTAAAACTTCGTTTGCAATGATCACAGGTAAAGGGTTTCTCCCCTGTGTGAGTACGCACATGATTAATCAAGACACTTTTGTATGTGAAACTTCGTTTGCAATGATTACAGGTAAAGGGTTTCTCCCCTGTGTGAGTACGCACATGATTAATCAAGACACTTTTGTATGTGAAACGTCGTTTGCAATGGTCACAAGTGAAAGGTTTCTCCCCGGTGTGAGTCTTGACGTGGTAATATAGACTGCTGGAATACTTGAACTGACGAGTACAGAATTTGCAAGATAAGAGCCCTTCTCCAGTGTGAATCCTTTGATGACATTTTAAATTACATATCGAAGCGAATTCTTTCTCGCAACTGTCACATTGATTCTTCCCATTCTTCGACTTCCGAATGTTTAAACCTATAAAATACGAGAAATAAAAATATTAAAAGCATCGTCTAAAGATCGAAACTCTCTTCAATTTATTGTCAAATCAAATATGTAAATTTAAGCGCTCTATTTTAACGTTTTGCTTGCAGATAAAACACTAATTTTCACTTTTCCCACGAGTTTCTTTAAATAAAAATTTACGGGTTACAACCAACTCCGATTTCACCACACCATACACTAACTGCTTACACCAGTGTTCACAAATATTAACAACAGGCATAAATACTATCACAAATTAATGTAATTTATACAGTTTTTTTCTGGACACAATTACTATGCATTTTGCAACAAAAGATGTANTCACACCATACACTAACTGCTTACACCAGTGTTCACAAATATTAACAACAGGCATAAATACTATCACAAATTAATGTAATTTATACAGTTTTTTTCTGGACACAATTACTATGCATTTTGCAACAAAAGATGTAAATAATAATCTTAAAATATCTTCATTAAATGTTCTGTTTTTCTTCATTTTCATGGAATATGCTTTCTCCTTTGATGGAATTCATCTTGTATGATTTCTTATCACTGGCTTCACTTTGTCTGTTATAAACAAAAGTTTAACACCTTCAGCTCTTATTGGAAATGGTCTTAGTTGGTGGATGGTGGATCTAAAAATAACAAAAAGCTCTGAATTAAACAAGATACCAGAATGAGGTCAAAACATTACTTTTTTCAATTCAAACACAAATTATTTATCGTATTTATACAGACACTTGGCAAATCACAGAATTAAATTTTATTCAATTGATACGTGTTTCATTAAGGTCAGCGAAATACGTTTGTTCGAAAGACTAGTATGTAAATTTTAATTGTAAATCAATTTAAACGTGATTTTAAGTGTATGGAAGAAATTTTAAAATTGTTTAAACTCATCAAAAAGGTATGTTTTTAAGATAACATGACCTTATATATCTATTTGTTTAAACTGTTGTAACTTGTGAAATTTTATTTTAGTTGGCTGAAGAGGGGCAAGAAATGCCCGAACGTGTATAAAAGAAAGAAACACGTATCAACTGAGAAGATTGTTGATTTTATTCTTTTATTTCTTATTTTCTAGTTTAGTTTACCTTAATTTCATTATTACACTCCTTTTTTCTTCTTTTTTCTGTACCTTTTCATCATATTTTTTCCTTTTCTAAACAATAAATCACTTATAACCTACCTCGAGTGTTCCACGAAAGAAAATATTTTAAAGTTTTTATTCAAATTTATTCCCATTGCAATATTCGTAGACAATACCGTGTTTTCATTTTATTCAATATGTTAAAGTTTATTAGTGTATTGCTTCATTGTTTTCTGAGAATAATAAACGTGGAGTTGCTTATCAAGTTTTGAATGTATTGATGCCAATGCTCCGTGTAATATAAAGTATATGAACTTTTACGAGATTTTATCATAAAAATTTTATATATTTTTAATTATTATAGAATAGCAAAGGACTTAATTTTGAGAGTACAGATGAGTTTTATAATGATCTGTAAACGCTAATAGCAAGTAAAATCTTCATTAAGCACAATCTCGTGCGAGATACGACACGTGACTACCCTCTATCTCCATTCCCCTCGACCTTTCATCACCAAAATTTAACATCCTCAATGTCCCTTATACACAAACTACCGTGTTCCAAATTTCACACCTTCCTGTGATTTTAAGTGGAATAGACGACAACACACGTACAAACACATATCCACGAAATTTTTTGTGGTTTTTGGCTTNTATTTTTAATTATTATAGAATAGCAAAGGACTTAATTTTGAGAGTACAGATGAGTTTTATAATGATCTGTAAACGCTATATTTACTTGTTATTAGAACAAGTAAAATCTTCATTAAGCACAATCTAGTGCAAGATACGACACGTGACTACCCTCTATCTCCACTCCCCTCGACCTTTCATCACCAAAATTTAACAGCCTCAATGTCCCTTATACACAAACTACCGTGTTCCAAATTTCACACCTTCCTGTGATTTTAAGTGGAATAGACGACACACACGCACACACACATATCCACGAAAATTTTTGTGGTTTTTGGCTTCAGGAAGTGTCGAAACGTGAATTGCAAAAAACTCGGAGGGTCACATTTGACACGATTCCATTAATTTCGCTTGTTATATATAAGTAACAGTCGAGAAAGTACTGTAATAGTTCCGAACAATGTTTAAAATTCATATATTGTATTGTACTTCCAGATCGTATACTTTAAAAAACTCGTTAATAACAACTCACTATTTCGTAATGTCAAACTGAGAGGTCTTTTAAGGGTATCTGGCCCCTCTTTAGGCGTTAAAATCGTGAAAAAAACCCTTAAAATTCCACGTGGCCAGCCTGTTCTGGCCGGGAGCACAACCACGCCTGAACTATTAGTGTTCGGGAAACTGAACCCCTCGGCCACTAGTGGGACTATCTTATTACAATGATGCTTCATTATTTTAACGTTACGCCCTCTAATATGTCACACCATAATTTATTAATTTGCATAACTTCTAATATATTAATTAAACTTACACTTTTAGAATTTTTTTACTTTTCCGGCTGTTATATATACAAAGGATAGTACGGCGATTAATCGAGATCTCCCCAATATTGAGTTTTACATTTTTTGACTCAGAACATGTTTAAACACGTCGAGAAACGCATAAAAAAATCGAGTGTGTTTTCTGTTTATGGATGTTAGTGTAAGTTTGTCCGTGGCACGATGTTGTTCACCCTCTTTAAGGTTTAAACCACGTGGCTTTTGTCGAAAATTTCTGAAATTTTGCAGGGTAATTTGATTATTAAGAGGATTAATGCTGCTAAATCTTGGTAATTACAGGTCAGAGGAATGGAGAGATAAAAACGGTCGCGTGTATCTCCAGTCGGGTCACACTTCGTGACGATTTTTAGTATAAATTTTTAAACAAATTCATTAATTCTAATTTCTTACCTTTTATTCAGTCAAACCTCGAGTTTCGAACGCCTCTGTTTACGAACAAAATTTCGAACGCCATATTTGCCCGGTTGCTAGGGTCCACAGACTGTCATCTCTCAGTACTTGCTGCGTTGAAGTACTTGTCCGTCTCGATTGATTTGATGATATTGCATAAAGCGTTTTGCAAAGCGTTAGTTTCTGTTTCGATTTCTGTTGGCCGTGAAGGAACATTTTGTTTTTAATAAATATATAAAATACGTATAGATATCGATAATATTATATTATATTGCGGATGAAGGCATTTCTATGCATAAAATAGAGCAAAAAAACATTATAAAAAACAAGTTTTAATCCGTTCGATAGAAAATATACTTTACCAGTTATTTGCTTCCATCCTCCATTTTCTTCTCAAATACGTAACGTAACTGTCAATTTTTAAAAAACGAACAAGTGGCGCCACCTAATTAAAATTAGAAAATTTTTAATTTCTAAGACTAAAGTATATATAAAAAGTAATCTTTCATTGGGATGTTATTGAAAAAGAGCCGAATAACTGTGAAATATTATGAATATTTAATTTATTAAAGAAAGTATTGTTTATGTTGGAGCCAAATAGCTGCCAACCATCAAAATGGGCGGTAAACAAGGGCAATTTGTGTTTGAATCGGTTCTCTATTCTTATAAATCATTTGTTATGAATTATTCGATTATTCTTTTCCATTGGCCATAATTGTGGGATTTACTGATAACCATTACCAATCTATATATAGATATATAAATGAATTTTTGTTGGTTTGTCCTTTATGCATATCTTTATTGTTAAACCCATCTGGACCAAACTTTGTAGGAATATTACTCGTCCGGCCGTCACCGATTCGAACGAAACTTGGCCAACACTAAGCCCTAAACACAAACAGATCCTTGTCCAAATAATAGGATCCACTTCTTCAGCTTCTACGAAAAACAAGTCTGTGAAAATTGAATATTTAGCTTATAAGTCTATGGAAGATTCACTTATTCTATTTGCCATAGCCGAGTGCATAAGTCAATAGGTATAAGAGTTGCGCGATTTAGGATCTGGCCTTCGCCCTTTTAGTTGTATGTATAACAAAATTATTTTATTATTTTACCGTATCGTCGGCATGGCATTATTATTACTATTGTTATTCATCACATTTAAAGCTTTATAAAAGAGATTTTGAAAACGTGACGCCTTTTCGTATTTAGGTCTCTGTAGATTTAACTCTTGAATGTCGTTAAATAAAATTTTTATTTATTTTCACATACGGTTGTGTTGTTGTATTTAAAGTGTAACAAGCAAAAACAATGCACGAGGAAATTGTTTCATTACTTTTTCATTAACAATGAGTACTAATGTAAAAGTATTAAAAATTTATGATAATCGTTAAATTTTTGTGGCCCAGGGTTTAAGCCCTTTTAGTCCCTGTGTAGATCCTCCCTTTTCGCACCCCTCTAGAATTTTAGACCTTCTATACGAGCAAAAATCGATCGAACCATACATGTATAGTACACGCGACTCTTCGCGAGATATTCGCCTCTAAAGGCCACTTTTTAACACGTATCTTCGACTTTTTTGCTCTACATCTCTGATAAGGGCCAACCTTTTCATTCGGAGCTCGAATTGTAAAAAAAATTGAAGTAAATAAAAGGTAAAGTATACTTTTATTGTAAATATTTAATGGATTATAAGTTTTTTTCGGAGAAGCTAAGAGTTTTACGAAGGAATAGACGAAAAGGTGGCGTTCGGGTGTTTTCTTCGTGTGAGTTGTACACCCTTGCATTTGAAATTTCACGCAAATACTTTGTCTTGTTGTTCTTAAATATCACGGATAAAATAAGTTTGAAAATGTCGCCTTTTGAATTTACATAAAATATAAATACTTGAATCAGAAAATTAACTTGAATTTCATTGTCTTTCAGATTTTAAAAGAAACTGTAATTTCTGTAATGTAAAATATGGAAGAAATTATTTCTACAATTATTGAAATTTATTCGAATTAGAAAATAATGTTTACACGTGATTTCTCGTATCTATTTTATACAGAACTTTATTATTTACAGATTCATTATCAATCAAGAAAGAACAATTGTGCGTTAGATGAAGGATTTTTTCTAGAAAAACACAGTATTGAAAGACGTGTTTAATTTCTTCTGTTGACGGAAGATTGAAATTGAAGCTTGTCTTATGAAAAGATACAAGGATACACCAATGAAGAAAACACGTTCCATAGAAATGAATGGTCCATAGAAATGATGTTCCATAGAAATGATGTTCGATGAATACATCGAACATCTTTTAAAATGTTCGATGTATTTGCAGTCATAACTTTACAAATCTACCGTACCTGAATATAAAGACAATTATTATACTTTATATTGTTTCGACCTCTCATCGGACCATCGTTCTTTACGCAATCGCATATAAGCATTAACCGACAAGCAAATACTCGACCGTAGCGCGTTTAAAAGGTGGCAGCGAGCCACTCTGAGGGACTCGGCAGTAGAACCTTATAACTTGGTCGGGCCCAGCCATATTTAAAATAGGGGGCCTTGCGTACGTTGTGACTTCAGACATTTTTCTTCGAAAAATTTTTTGGGAAAATATTTTCTTATAAATGATTAGTTTGAGACGCCTGTTAGCGTAGGGTCTGGGCAATTGTTTCTTTTACCCGTAGGATGATGCGTCACTGGAACCCGACCATTCCAAAAATTTTCAATTGGGTTTAAATTTGCACCAAGGAGTGGCCATTCAAAAGTTGGACGTTCTTGCTCCGAAAAAGGTTAACGTTGATTTTGATAGACGGAAGCTTGCGTTATCCTGCAGGAATTCAAAGATCTGTCCATAAATTTGGAGCTGCCTCTAAGCTCCTGATAAGTTTGAAAGTTGTTTCGACATTCAATAAATACTAGATCTGTTATTCCATTCCATCCAATTCTCGCCCAAGTCATGAGTATATACCATCAGCTACTCTCTTTGAATACTGCTTTTGATTTAGTCTTTTGTCTCCTCAGTAATACTTAAAATCATCAGGTTTGTCGATATTTCATTTTTTCTCATTACAGGAAATTACTTTTTGCCATCCTTCCTATCTTTCATACTTGTTTCTGGCAAACTGCAATCGAAGTCGTTTGTATTTCTTAAGCTAGCTGCCTGTCTTCAATTTGATGAAAAAAACATTGTCTGTTGATCTCAAAACATTGAGTACTGTTGATTTATTGCAGCTCAGCTTCAATTCATTTTATATAAACCATACAATCAAATGCGAGTCATCATGACGAGAGGTCCTTTATTAAGTAAGAAGCAACCTGTTTATTTCGGGTTTTATTAAAAAAAAATGACAAGGGAAGATACTTTTAAAAATAGCAGAACTTTATTCAATATCAAATAGTGTAGTAGCTTGTGTCAGTGACTGTAGTAGCAATAACTTAAGTTTATGGAAAGAATTAAATGTGAATATCAATGAAACATTATTCTTTCATTTAAATACAAAAATTCAGGTTATATATATTTGCAGACACTGAAATTATTGCGAAACTGGATTATTTATGTAGGTTTTAAGTCTAAAGACAGTCATGTAACAAATAAAAATCCATTGCAAGCCCTCATTTCCATCACTAATACCGAAATGATTTCATGCAGGAAAATTAATCAAAAACATTTCGACTGTCAAAAAAGCCGGCACCAAAATGTTAAACAGGCAGCTCAGATTCTATCAAATGTCATGGCTCTATTACGTTATCTTCCCGGTACAGACAAGAAGATGACAGAGAGATAATTTAATTAGGAATGTAAATGTGTGCTTTGACATTTTAAATAGGTATACAACAAATTTTTCCAAGTAAAATTAGATATGGTGTGGATTTGGAATTACAGGAAGCACATTTTAAATAAAATGATTAAAAAAAATCTCGACAATGAGAAAAAGTGGAAAAAATGCTGTCCAAATTCTCCAGTAAGGAATGATCATCTCAATGAAATCTAATTAATAATTCTAATTAACTCCCAATAATTACTAATATTATTAATTAAACTAAACAGTTAAAATAATGATTAATATGCATAGAGTTATTGCAAATTTGATATTTATTTTACATTCATATTTTTAAACTTCCGTTAACACTTATCTATATTGTTAGCAATAAAATTATTTTTACACTATATTTTTCTATGTGCAGATTTAGTGTGAATTTCATTGTTTATGTTGAAATTTCTACAAAATTAATTTTTTCGCAGTTCTTATTAGAAGTAAGCAGTGATTTCTTTACAATATTAAAATAGTGCAATACTTAGGAAAAAAAACCATTAAATTAAATTTTAATGTACTAATCATTTATCAAGAAATAAAGATTGCAATTTATTTTAACATCACTACAGGAAATTATTCAGAACCAACAAATATTGACAGTACAGACTGTACCTACATCTCTGATACAACAGAATCTTTCTTACTGTACAACATTTTAAATTTATAACAAACTAGCAGACCCCGCCACGCCTTGTTGTGGCTCAAAATGTATCTATTATAAATGTATAACACTTCCCCCCTAGGAGAAAATTTTTCGAAAAATTTCTTCTTAGTGTACATTCTCTTGACGTACCCTATTAAAACGCAATCAGAAATGCAAAAACCCGCATATAAAATAGTATAATAGAAGCCAAGTTTTTCACAGTAAGCCTTAATCCTGTCCCTCTCCCCCGCGGGGGGAATATCGAAAAATCCCTTCTTAGTGTACATTCTGTTGACGTACCCTATTAAAACGCAATCAAAAACGCAAAAACCCGCATATAAAATAGTATAATAGAAGCCAAGTTTTTCACAGTAAACCTTAATCCTGTCCCTCTCCCCCCAATAGGGTAATTTCGACATGTATTCGACAGCCTATGTCCACCCTGAGGTTCCATTCTAAATACTGGTAAAAGAATTTTTGAAATCGGATGAGTAGTTTTGGAGATTACCTGCTGCATACAAACTAACATACAAACATTACCTCTTTATTATATTAGTATAGATAATTATAATAGATAATAAACAACTACTGTTATTGTTACAGAGATCAGATCAGACATCTGGAAATAACCTCTCTGAAAAGTCCAATCCCTTTATGAAATAACAAAAAAACTTTTAAAAAAACACGAGAACATGTTGGATGTTGCTTTAAAAACATTTACTGCAACATTGTATGTGTTACGATTTCGTTATAAAAACTTTATACATTTTAATTTTTATAAAATAGCAAAATACTTAATTTTGAGAGGAGAGATGAGTTTTATAAAACACTATAAATGCCGTATTCATAACAGATAGGAAAGTAAAAGGACTGATACTAAAGAAAAGTGTAATTATGAAATTAAAGTAAATAAATAAACTAAACTAAAATATAAGAAATAAAAGAATAATAAAATAA